AAGAATCATGATTACTGTATTATTTCGTAACGCCTTCATCAGACGCTGTGCACCAGCATCTCCGATTTTATTGGAGCGGAGTTTTAATGTGGTAAGTGTCTGTAAAAAAGAGTGCAGATGGATATAAAAAATATGTGAGTGACATAAGCATAGTTACCGCATTATTTTGTAATGCATCCGCCAGATGCTGTGCACCAACAACTCCGATTTGATTGTTATCTAGATCTAATGTTGTAAGCGTCTGTATAGAAAAGTACAAATGTATATATGAGATAGATCACGAAGAGAATGATAGTTACCGTATTATATTGTAACGCATTCGCCAGACGCTGTGCACCAACAGCTCCAATTGGATTCTCGTCGAGAACTAATGTGGTAAGTGTCTGTATAAAAAAAAATGAAGATGGATATATGAGATAGGTGAGTAACAGAATGATGGTTACCGTATTATTTTGTAATGCATGCGCCAGATGCTGTGCACCAACATCTCCGATTTGATTGCCCTCAAGTTTTAATATGGTAAACGTCTGTATAAAAGGGCGATGATGAATATATATGAAATAGATCACGAAGAGACCGATAGTTACCATATTATTTTGCAATGAATCCGCTAGATGCTTTGCTCGAACATCTCCGATTTGATTGTAACGGAGATTTAATATAGTAAGTGTCTGTAGGAAATAGTATACATGGATATATCGAATAGATAACGATGGATGGAGAGTTTTCGGCAAAAGTCCACCTCCGAGAACCGAAACAATAAGGGCAAAATACTATGAAAGAGAAGAAGTCAATCATTTCATTATCGATGAAATTTATGATGAATTAGTGTTGGTTATATTCACGGGTTTTTCCTGGATATTTAATAATATTCAATTGATTGAGTTATATGAGAAATGCTACTAGCTTGTTATACGTCATCGAAGTGTTGTGTATTATTTTTGAAAACTGAAATAGTACAGTGCACATGTTGAATTTAGTAGAATGTCAGACGATGTTTAACTGAAATGTTAAGGTATAAGGATAGCAGCTATGATTAGGGAGATTTGAGTGCAATCCAGAAATTGAACTATTAAGAAAATGGAAAGACTTTCTGAAAAACGTCATGGGTTTGCAACAAAATCTAATAAATTCTAGAAAATGTAGGAGTTCTTGGAAATCAAGCAATTCAATTGTCTTCACATTATTTCATGTGGTTATTGCTTCCCCAGGTCGATCATTTTGATGATCGATTTCGATAGAATCTGATCCATGTCTTAACAAAATCAAATAGTATCATACAACTGATAGCTAGTACTGGTAAAAAGAATTTTACTGAAATTTCTAGTAACGAAGTTTCAGCTGACGGAATATAATATGATTTCGTCCCACAATTTCCAATCGGATTTTGTCGGATGATCAGGTGTTATAGAGTCCGATTAGATCCGTTATACGTTTTAATAATCTGCGTGTATAACATCTTCTCGCTCTCATCCTCTCTCTAATCTTATCGGTATCTCTTGAACTTCTTCAGTTCCTTGTTTTTCAAGGTAGTATAAGTCTAGGTTATTACTGTCTCTTAAACTCTTTGAATCTCCTTAATTTTTTGTGGATAGCCATTTTTTTGGATCGCAGTATTGCTGTTTGCATCTGTGTGATATTTTGTCATATACTGCTGATTAAATCAAAGAAGAGCCTATATGAAGTAATGTGTTCACATGAAAAGAAAAAGGAACAGTCTTGTAATTTAATATTAGACCTATTCCGACTGCAAGGCCCATTAGCGTATGAGTGATTGATTTATTTCAGTTAAAACTCCTGTAAAGCCTTTAGTCTCTGTCAAAAAGTCGCTTTTGATATGAAAAATGTGTGAATAAAAGTTCAGATGCACATGTAAATGCAATTCTTTCTTTCCTTTATCTTGTAAATATTACAGGTGGGTAAATAAAAATAATATGAGAGCAGTGGATTGTTTAAAAAAGAACGGTAAAAGAGTTGCTTTTATGTATATCTTCTCATTTCTTTCCGAGTGCTTTGATTATATAAATGATATCTTCTCACACATATGGGCTGTAAGAATAAGAAATGGTTTGAAGATAAAAGAGAGGCAGACAATCGTGAATAGAAAAAAGTTTACCTGGTATCGGTGATAGGTTTCAAGGATTGTATTGAACCGTTGGCAGACATTTTGCATTGAGCACACCATTGTAAAATCACTCTGCTGATCCAAAATTCGGTAGACAAGTTCTACCGGTAATGTAAGTAAATTGGGAGAAATTTTATTCGACATTGATTAAAATTATTGAAATGGTCTTGTGTAGCGTTTTGTGTCGGCAGAATGAAATGTGTTGTTGCTTTGCTTCTTTTGTTTTAAACAGGTTTATATTTGTGATATGTTATCAATTTTTCATAGTGATGAAATTACTTATTTGAAGAAAGAGAATGCAAAAGAATGACGTCAATGGCTACACTAAGATAACCTATAGAATTAATTTATTGGTTGCTTTAATTTTACTGATAAACTGACATACAGAGTGTAGGTCTAGATGTAGATGAGGGTGTGAGTTAATAACAACACCCACACCCTCAAGATTTTAACCTTTTTTATTGCTGGTATAATTGCTTCAATTATTTAAATTTCTGTTCTTGTGAATTCACAATCAGTACATCTTTTCAAAATTTGTGTCATATTATTCATTACAGCTGTAGTCAGAACTTTGAGTTCGTCTAATATTGATAATTTAACTGTTCCTTTGCCGATTCTTGTTATATATTATTTCATATTTTAAACAGCACCTCAGAGCAAACAGTTACTTCAATCGATTGGCTTAAATTTCTGATATTATTGTTTCCGAACTTGTTGGAAATTTAATCAAATAAATAAATATAAATAAGAAAAAGAAAAAGAACTTGATCAATAGTTTAAAAAAAAATTAGTTTTAAATTATTGACTTGAGATTTTTATTTGAAGTTTATTTCAACAAACAATACAACATTTAACATCACTAGTTGAATAAATATTTGGTAAAATATATATGTAGCGACAAAAATAAAATTTAGATAGAAGTCCTGTTGAAAGTTAACCAACTTTTCTAAATTAGAACTGATTGATCATGATTGATTTACTATCTCAGTCGCTTAAATCGGGACAACACGCCGAGCACGATTGCAGCAATGATTTCGGCTATTCATGATAGTAGATATAAGTTTTACTAACTCTTGACGAAATGTACGCGATGCTAATGTATATAAATAGAATGATAAAGTCGTATATAAATAAGCGAGAGTTTCGGTCAAAAATGAAAGAAATCCTTCAACAGCTATTCGATCGCTCGTCTTGTTTGGGACTGATAGCGACAACGCATTATATACCGTAAAAATTGCCCAAGGTAATGTGCAGATTATATAAAAGCTGATTTCAACATATAACATGAGTAATGTTTGTCGATCACGTGCTCTAAGTAAACGATTCGCTTGACTCTCAACTGTTGTGGAAACGTTATTTCGACGACGTTTACGTTTATGCCTAAGATTATTGTTAATGAGCACAGCACATGTAATCATAACTGTTGTTGGAACTATAAAACCAAATGTAACTACCAAAGCACTATTATATGTTGCAACCGAAGAGGAAGTCCAAACACATGCGCTTCCATTAATATTAAGAAACATCCAATTATGCCAAGGTACTATTATCCAAATGATGACAATAATGAGTATAACGCGAGAAGCAATATGTGGATTAGCGAGATTGCGTATACGAGCATTGACTGTTGATGAAGTGTATCGATCAATACAAGCCATAGTTAACATCCAACGATATGACATGACACTAGACTGACCGAAATAAGTACGTGCTTTACAAAATGCATTAATTATATTCTGTGGATCTGGTTGATACGCTGATATAATACGTGATATTAATCCAAAGTTCATTGCGACAAGCATTGCTATGGACGCACCAAGAAAATCTATGACGAAAAAAGAACTATTTATCAGATTCTAATTAGTTGAAGGATATCATAATATCATAAAGTTGGGTATTCTGATTCATAACGTCATTATCACAGCTCACTCATTATTGTGTCAATTCACACCGATCACGACAAGCTAGAGATTTTAGAGTGCTTTTGGTATAACAAGATGGACATGACTAGATTTAGAGACACTCCATACAAGTTGAGTTTGACTGGCCTATTTAGTATTTCGAATAGCATACTTTGTACAATTTTGAAGCAAGAAAAATATACTGTGAGTCATTTTTGACATAACATACAAAAAATCCTAAGGATTTTCTTGATCAATATTCGAAGATCAACTTTCACACATATTTTACTATGGGCTAACTTCGATTTCAATCTATACTTACATGTGCAGCACGAATTTTTTCTAAACTGTTTGCGTGAGAAAAGTAAAATGTTAAGTGAAGACCCAAATATACCACATATTAAGAATGTTTGACAAATATATTTGCAGATTATTTCTTTAGCTGTCGAGAGAACGATGATCAATGACATTTTTAAACAATTTCAAATTCTAAAATGAAAATACAAAAATGTTGGCTGTTTTGCAGACTATTTATTATAACGGATTAGTTAACCAATTAGTTAATGACAAATCAATTATGATTTGACCTCCAAACTATACGAGCAAAGTATCTAAAAGCATCAAGACGACCTTTATAGCGTCCAGATTAAGAACGTTTAACGATACTTTTTCAAATTTAACGTGAAAAGCAAAGTTAACTAACAAATTAACGACGGTGAACAAAGATCTTCTGTTCCGCTTTTGTTGTTTTCTTCAACGTCGCAACAATCCGGCAGCTCTTTCACTAATTTTCAAGTGTTAGTGATCTTGGAACGACAATAAACTGGTTTAATCTGGTGAAACTCTCTTGTAACTTTAACGCATTTTCTCGAATGAATATTGTTGTAATCCTTATAAACTTATTATTTGAACTTACATATTTCTCTTATCTAAATGAGTGAGATGTTTTAATGTATCTTATCGAATGAGTTTGTTTCTCGTCAGTAATACTTATTATTTCTAATTAAAATTTTCCCTTATTTTAATGAGTGACATATTCTAATGTGTCTTATCCATTGAGTTTGTTTCTCATCAGTAAAATGTATTATTTATAATTGAAATCTTCCCAGATTTTAATGAGTGAGATACTTCAGCGCTTCTTCTCGAATGAGTTTCTTTCTCATCAACAAAACTTGTTATTTTTTCTTAAACTTTTTTCTGATTCTAACGAACGGGACACCTTAAGGCGCTTCATTGAATGAATATACTTATAGTCATTATAAACCTATTATTTATACTTACATGTTTCCCTTATTTTAACGAGTGACATGTTTTAATGCGTCTTATGAAATGAGTTTGTCACTTGTCAGTAAAACTTATTATTTATACTTGAGATCTCTCTTATTCTGATGAGTGACATGTTTTAATGCGTCTTATCAGATGAATTTGTTTCTCATCAGTAAAAATTATTATTTGTACTTACAATTTTTTTTCTGATTTTGATGAGTGATCTGTTGTGATGCGTCTTATCGAGTGAGCTTTTTACTCGTCAGTAAAACCTATTATTTATATTTAAACACTTTCCTGATTCTAACGAATGAGATACCTTAAAACGCTTTATCGAATGAATTTGGCTTTACTCATTATAAACTTACTATTTATAGTTAGAGTTTTTACTGATTTTAACGACTGGGATGCTTCGATGGGTTTTATAGAATGAATTTGCTTTTCATTTTTAAAACTTATTATTTATATTTCAACTTTTCACTGATTTTAATGAGTGGGATGCTTTAACGCGTTTATTGAATGATTTAATATTACGCAGATCTACCAATCCTACAGTCGGATCCGATTGGAAACTATTGGATTTTACACGATCCTGCAGATTCTCATAGGATTTTATCGATTTCTGGTAACGGTATCGCATTCGATTCTATCGGATTCTATTGACTTGAATCGACAAAATCCGATAATACGATACTGATCGGATCTTAATTACTTCAGTCGACAAAATCCTATACGCCATTAGTAAAATAGGAACCATGAAAAATGTAACAACGTACAAAGGAAACAAAAGTAGATATAATAACTATCTCAATTCTTTTATGACTATATATGTTTTTATTAGAAGTAAACGTCATATTCTTTATCAATTCAGCAGCTGATGTAAAAAGTATTCTGCTCATTGGTTCCTGTTAAATTACACATGCACAAAAATGCTCCTGAAAACATATCTTATTCAATCAATAACGGTGATTGCAGCAAATAAGTTACAACATATGCCCGGTAAATAGTATACCAAACTAATTATATCGAATGAACTTGCATCTTGTTCTGTTACCTGCCAGTAGTTTTATATACCTGCAGCTATGTACAATGGTTTATATCATATTTATAGTTAAAAAAAGGCGTTTCTCTTATTTTTGAATTCTCTTTTTAGCTAGAGAACGATATTTATTATTATAAAAGTCGAGAGCTGAATGTTTTACTGGCCAATAAACTGTATTTAAGTGAGGTTGTAATATTATACAAATGTACAAAATGAATGACTCGTGAATTGTTTATTTACAGACTTTGCTTAGTAGTATTGTTCATGTCAGTTTTACGCCTATATCCACATAATTCGTCTATGCAATTGTAAAAAGATTTAAAAACCTAATCACGAATTCGGACTCGTCGATCTCGATTACCTTTGCTCAAGTTTTATGGGAAAGAACTTCGTTTTGTTTTTACATTATTCGTCGACCCAATCAGTGAAGTGCGGGCACACAAGCAAGCAAGCAGGCAAGTAGACAATATATGTCTGCAAGATCTCTTCTCCACGAGAACGAGAATAAAAGAAACGAAAATGCTTTTTATTAAATTTCTTGCTAAGATATAGTTGGGTTCATCGATGGGCTCTATCGTCGTGAAAGGATTAATCACGGTCGAATTTGTGATCATTGTTTATTTGACTTCCCCTAATTCTATACCACTATTGTCAATAACGGAACAAATTAGATGTGATGTATTATTTGTCAATCGTTGTTATTTCAATCATATATTGATTTTCGTATGCTTAACAAAAAATGAACCGAGAACAAACAAAACAATTTGTTAATGAAATAGAATTATAAGTATTTAACGACATTACAATGTTAGGAAAGGTACAGTGTGCTATTAAAATAAAGGAGGCTCTTGTTTAAGCTGTTGTGCATTCCAGTCGCATGCCTGTTTGTGTTTCGACAGTTCAGCGTCGACTTCTGATTCAGATATGATATCTGATAGGCGCCAAAAACTAGATGGTGAATGCTCGTCAATAATTTGCAAAATATTCAAAGAACTGTGTTCTCTAGCAGATAGAACAAAATTATTTGAGACTTCGCGTCTAAGATTATCGTAGGCTTTGAGGCTTTGCGGAGTGACACCATGCTCACGAAACGACAGAGTGAGTGCACGAGCATCGACAATCGCTTGTGAAGCTCCGTTACTTCCATATGGGTACATTGGATGAGCAGCATCACCGAGAAGGGTCACACGATCATGTGTCCATTGGACTAGAGTATCACGATCAGTCACTGGGTAACAACGAACAATAAGTGACGAACTGATAAGGTGATGGACGTCGAGAAAATCCAATTTCATGTCCGATATTAACGGTAAAAGATTTTGGATATGACCCATAGTGTCACAGTCAGGCATCTCGGGTGGAACTCGTCGTCCTGGCTCTTCAGTCTGAATGACGCAAACCCAATTAATGAGATTATTGCCTATGGGATAAAAGGCAATGAAGCGCTCGTTTGGATTACCCAAATAAATCATAGTTCGTCCATCAAAGAAGGTTTTGTCCATTTGTGTCAAACCGCGCCACAAACTGCAGCCATTCCAAAGTGGAGGACTCTCGGTAGGATAGAGAATCTTTCGTACAGCCGATTTAATTCCATCAGCACCCACGAGCACTTTAGCCAATGCGGTAGTTAGTTGATCTGTGTCAGGATTAACGAAATCAACTTCAACATGGTTCTGTTGCATCCGAAATGCCACTACCTTCTGGCTCAACTGAATAGAAGATTTACCCACCTCATCATGCATGTGACGAACTAAAAGTTCTTGAAGATAGCCGTGGTGTATTGAGTACTGAGGCCAGCCATATCCCGCATCGATACCTCTCGACTCTTTATAAATGAATTGTCCATTACGTGAGTAGTAAGCAGCCGTGCTTGTACGAATACCAATTTTATCCAGCTCATCTTTGAGTCCGAGCTCGTACAGCAATTTCACGCAATATGGCTGGAGATTCATAGCAAAACCAATTGGCTTTAGTATATGAGCTTGCTCGTAAACACGAACGGTGAAACCTGCACGGTGCAAACATAAAGCAGTGATGAGACCACCGATTCCAGCTCCAGCAACGAGCACATCAATAATCTCCGAGTTTCCTTTATTTACCTCATTAGTCATGAAATTATCACTGTTGGCGTCAGATGTGGAATTTGACTTTTCAGATGCAGTGGCTGAAGTATTCGCAGAGTTTGATTTTGAAGTACTCATTACTTTATATAGAAATCTAAATAAAAAAAGATTCACTAGTCATGAATGAATATATTGTCGAGTGATTTCTTCTACTACTGATATATAGTTGAGCAGGATCAGTTTTATAGATTTTTTACAGATCAACTGAAATAATTATGAAAATAATGGCCGCTAGTTAGAGTTTTGAATCAATACAGACTGAAATGACATCTCTTAAAAGTTTACAGTTATATTTTTTTTACGTATTTTCGTATAGTAGAGAAGAACAATAAAGTATGAAATTATTTTCGAAGTGTTGGAATCAAATCTATAGTATATATATATAAATAAAATATAATAGATTGATTTTTAAATTAGTCATGAAAAAGCACTTATGGACATCAATAGATTACGTTAGGACAAAATAACTTTAAAAAATATCCGATACGTTTTAAATTTCAACTCGCATTCATATGCTAACAACAGCAATAATCAAGATAACGAGATGATGTAATGACAGTTATGCTATGACCACAGTACTTCTCGATGTCTCTCTAATGGATGGTTAATAAATAAAATTTCAAGTATTAACTAGTCATTGAACGCTGGAAATTTTAGTTTTTCTTTGTGACAGATAACGAAACTTAAAATTTTAGGAATGATTATCATGGACGTTCACTACAATTGTAGATAACATGTTTAATATGATCTTCAAAAGTTCTATCTACACTTATAAACTTAAAAAGTTATAACGAGTGTCCATATATAGCCTTTGAAAGTTACAAATACTATTCATATATTGTCCTTAAAAGATTTCAATTTTATTCGAGCATAACTAGAGATGGAAAAATTCGACCATACATTTCTAATAGGAAAGAATATCTACTTACTGTGCATTTTTTTATAAACAATAGGAGACAAAAACATACTATCGTATTTAAAACTATTACAGTTATTAGAAAAAATACAAGTCAACTAGATATCTTTTTGAACGAGAATAGATTTCGAGCTAGTACGAGTCAGTTCGAATGTGAGATAAACTGATATATTTTTTGTCTAATTTTAAAATTGAACTAGAATGTGTTTTAATACAAGAATATTTACGATGAGTCATATCAGATTACACTTAAAAGAAATAATATTAATATTTTTTATTTCCTATCAAAATATTTCTAGTTTTAAATACAAAATCAACTTTTCAAAAAATAGTTTGTTTAACTTACTCTATCGCGTTATAATTGTGTTCTATATTGTTTTATCAATCCATTTTTTTTTTCATTCACTAACAAGCTTAGAATACGAATATTCATTTTTTTCCACTTGAATAATTTCGTTCTTTTTTTCATCATATAGTTATTCTCAAAACACATTTTAACTAACAAGGTAAAAGCAATATTATTTTTCTTTTTTTCCTCTCATTCTACGCTCTTGGTGATCAGTAACACGTTTGAAAAATATGGGTGAATTGCAATATTATTCTACCGTTGTTAAATTTATTTTGGTTATATCACAAAATATTAAGAGCACAAGCCCGGTTTTTTGTTGCCACCAATTAGAAGAAAATGTCATATTATCGATTGACTATCTTTTTATTCTATCTAATTGATCCTTTCAGATTGTTACAGTCATATCTTCATATGCCTTCACACATTCTTTCACATCATATATGATTTTTCGTTATTCACATTCTTTGTTTCTTTTTCTTTTATGTTTTTGTTCTTCATTCGAATAAGATACGACGTGAAGAGAGGATCCTCTCATACAAATGTATCTTAGTTGGATTGATTATGGTGTTTTAGTTTTGCTTTTGAGTAAGTGTACAGATAAATAACTCCACTAAATAAAATCCATTATGCATTTAACATTTTTAGTTTGTTCTGTTAGTATCGGAATTTATCAAGGCTGTGTAAGATCAAAACAAACATCAACAAAAGAATTCTTCATTGCCGATGGCAAAATGGGAGTAAATGATTTATCTAAAAAAATATTTATGCTTGTTGTATCCATTGGAATAGATTCTACCAACTGCAATGAGTCTGTTGGCAAGTTTGACATCTGCAGCATCATTACTTGGAACGCCTGTTGATATATATTATTATGGAACAATGTTTATCTATTACAGTATGTTATTAAGAATTTATTTTCATGTAACTAATTTATATAAAAAGTTTTGTCATTATTCATTGCAACATATTTAACAATAAAATTCTTCATACCTAAATTTCATTATATTGGAAGTGTTAGCATTTATGCTGTAAGTAAATAAATATCATGTCTGTAATAATTGAATATCTATTTATAAATCTTAGTATCTTGAACAACGTTTTTCATTAACAATTCGTATTTTGGTAACATGCACTTATATTTTAGTTACTGTAAATAAATAAACGAATGATTTTCATAGTTTTGAAATTAGTTAATTATGTTTTAAGATTCTTTATATGTCTATCATTTTATATGGACCAAGTTTAGCTTTGAGTCAAGTTACTGGATTAAATATTTGGCTTGTAATTGGATCATGTGGATTAGTTTGTACTATTTATACGAGTATCGTAAGTGTGTGTAGTAATTTTTTATCGAAGATAATTTTCGAATAAACTTTTAAGGGTGGAATGAAAGCAGTTATTTGGACTGATGTTCTACAAGCATTGTTGATGTTTATTGGTCTAATAATGTCAATTATTATTGGTATATTTTTATTTAGAAACAATATTTCTCAATTTTTTAAATTAAACAAAACAGGTGTTATCGATTTTGGTGGACCATCAAAAGTGTTTGAAACAGTGAAAAATGGAAATCGATTTCAATTTTCAGTGTATAAATATTTGATTTTAAATTTAGTTTTTGAAGATTTTACTTTTGTATTTTAGTATTGATCTAGATCCATCTATTCGTTATACAATTTGGAGTATTTTGATTGGCATGACATTTTCTAGTTTAGCTAATTATGCATGTATTCAAACTCAAGCTCAAAGATATATGTGTGTTAAAGATACAAAAGCAGCACAAAAGTATTTATTTTAGGATAAACATTGATTTTTTGAATTATGTTTTAATAGAGTTGCTTGGATTAATTATGTGATGCATGCATCGATGCAAATGCTTTATGTATGTGTTGGATGTTTAATCTATGCAAAATATAGTCAATGTGATCCTCTTCGTGCTAAACTTATTTCACGATCAGATCAAGTAGGATAATCATATGATTTATATTAAAAAAATTAAATGATTTCTGATCAGTTGTATCCATTATTTATAATGGAAACATTAGGACGATTTCCTGGTTTTACAGGTCTTTTCATTTCGTCTATATTAAGTGCAACATTAAGTACATTTTCAAGTGGAGTAAACAGTATAGCAACAGTTATTCTTGAAGATGTTTATAAACGAATATCAAATAAACATTCAATATCTAACAAGCATCAAGTGATTGCATCGAAAGTCCTATGTAAGGTGTTATTATTTATCTTTTCATCATTTTATTTTTTGTCTGTGTAGCATTGATAATTGGTTGTCTGGCAATATTTCTAGCATTTGTAGTATCTTATACAAAAAGCAGCATCATCACAGTCATTATACGCAAGATTTCTTTACTTGTTGATCATTTTTCGCTTTTATTTAGATATTTTATCAAATATTTGGTGCATATGCAGCTCCTATTCTTGGTGTTTATTTACTTGGATTATTTTCATCACGAGTTAAAAGTCGAGTAAATATAAAGATTTTATTTCTAGAATAGATGATTAATGATTTTCGTTTATATTTAAAGAGTGTTCTTGTTGCCTTTGTCATTTGCTTTATATTTCAAACTGTCATGCTTGTTGGTTCTTTTGTCACTGTCAAATCAGTAAAAAAGCAGGGAGGACAACTACCTACTTCCGTTGCTGGATGTGTACCATCAGTTAATATTACTCTTTCATTAACAACAAATCAGACGTAATGATACTTGAAATAAGTCAATAGTAAAACGAAAAATAACTTTTTTTTTTTGTTAGTTCTAATTTTTGGGTATCTCTATTTTCAATATCTCCTTTTTGGTTCATTTTTAATGGTACCATTATCACTGTTATATGTGGAATGATCTGTACCTTTATTTTGGTAAAAACTTTATAGTCATTAGAAAAACTTTGTTGCTAATTGAATTAATATTTGTTTATGTAGATGTGAATGATTCAAAAATAATCGATCCATCATTATTAGTGTCTCAAAAAGAGATATTCTCGTGTAACTCATCAAAAAAAAGTGAGTGTTCATATAGACTAGTTTTCAGTAAATAGTCGTTGACGTTGTTTTAGGAAACAGCAAAACGATCAATAACTCAAAACGGCAATCAAACTCCAATGAATGATATTACGACTGAACATGAATCTATGCTATAGACTTGAACTGCATTTTTTTGGTAAAATAAAATAGAGATTAACGGATAATTAAAACTACTATTTCCTGTTTTCATGTATATACAGCATGGTGAGGGTGTGGATATTAGAAGAAGATAAAAACTAAACCCACCCACCCACCCACACACTTTTATAACTTAGTTCAACTAATACTACAGCTTTATTTATTTCTACACAATAATAAGTGTCACAACATATTATTTTCACTGCGAACAATACTTATAACGATAATAATCAAGAACAACTTCACTTACATACTCACATAAAAATTATTGAGTACCAGCAATTGTTTTCAATTGTATTGTGCCTCGCACAACTTGATTTACAGGCGTCACTGTTTTTGTTGTTCGTAAGTTTAGAATAATATTTTTTAGTTGTGGAATAGAAAAAAGTAATGCGACACTCAATCCTGCTTGAGATATGTTAACTGTGAAAAATGAAATTCGAATAAATAATGGATTCTCTTCACCTGTTATTATAAACATAAATACAAGAGTCACTGCAGGTATTCCAAGAATAAGTAATATAATAACAATAATTAAAATGCGTCGAATAATAAGTAAATCTCGACCTTGCCGTTGTTTGATTATTAATGTTTGAATATTTCCTTGTTGACGAATAAATTTTGTTATATGCATATAAATAAATGATATACAACAAAGTGGACACATATAAACAACAACTGCTGCACAAAGAACACCGGGAATATTTGTGAGTGTTGCATAACAAAAGTAATCATTTGGTAAATATGTTACACCATTCAAAGGTATAAGAACACTTAGAAGAATAGGTGTTACTATTATTATTTCTATAATTGGTAAAATTATATATAATTTTAAAGATAGAAACCATCTATTTTGAGAATAAACAATTCGAATAAGACGATATAATGCCTAAAATTATTCAAAAAAAAAGAATATATAAATTTTCTAATTTCTATTATTTCAAATTACCTGATTTAGAAAATTCATGTATAACATACCAAAGATTACAATAGCTAAATATCCTGAAAAAATACACCATGTCGAATTAAAATATTGATTATACAAATCACCCAATATTGATCGAACATTCATTGATATTAACATTGATGAATATATTACAATTGTTAAATATATATGACTACAAAGAACAACAGTTATTTTGTCTTCACGTTTTACATGATTATAATAAAGATGATATATAATTATAAGAAAAATTATGCATGATATCAAATATGCAAATGTACTAAAGCCAAGAGAAATCGAACTAAGTATAAAACCATTCGATTTTGTTTGATCACTAATCATAATAGGAGTTTGAATTGAATTCAACTATATAACTGCAACATATAATATATATATAAACTGAATTAATAAAATGAGTGCATGTGTCTGGAAAAAAAAAACTAAAACGGTTGAATAAACAATATAAATATCTATAAAGAAAATCTTATACGTAGAAATTAATTTGATTCTATTTGAAACATTCTTAAATCGTAATAGTTAGATTATCTATTATTAATAAAAATCAGTTTTTTTTTGTCAACATAGATTAAAAATAAGATAACGAAATACTTCTAATAGAAGCAATTCTTTGTCAAAAATCTATTTATTTTAGTCATTTGTATATCTCAAGACAATAGAATACTTTTATCTTTAAAATTAACATAAATTGAAATTTCTATCATTTTTTATGGTGAAAGAGTATAAAGAGATTATTTTTCTCGACAATAAATTACATGCTTGTATTATTTTAGTGCATCATTATGAAAAAAATATAGTCTATAATAAATACTAATTAAAGTTACTGTTCTTTATTAATAGCATGTTAATTACTTTCTGCTCGTGTAAATTTGTTTAATTATGGTTTGAAATAAAATATAAATGCATAATCATATAGTATCTGTCAAGAATGTTCTTGGCGAAATGTGCAATGTTTCATAGATAATCTTCTGTATAGTGAAAAGACAGTGGTCTATGCAATAATTATAAATAATAAAAAGGTTTTAAGAAATATAATTATTTATTTCAGATAAGGAAGTTATTTAAAACTACAAGTATACTGAGTAGAATATTGGTATATACATATATTCACAAGTTCGAAACATTTTGTTTCATCTTTCAAATTCAATGTTAATAACGTCCTATTTTTCATTAAAGAAATTGTATATTACCGTTAAAAACTGAAATTATCACATTCTCAATTTGTCTGATAACTATGAAATTGAGGGTGCGGGTGTGGAAGGATTTTTTTCTTGTTGCATCTGCATTCACACCCACCCACATCTACACCCACACCCAACCTCTAAAATGACCGAATTCCGCTCTTTCTTCCTTAAATTCTTGGACGACTCATCTATCTCATAAACTTTGTATAGTGCACATAACTCTCGAATAAAGTCCGAGGTTTTTTGTATTTTTATATTATTCATATATTGATCAGTAGATATCACTTTTCTTTTTATATTTATTGCAGTCATCTGATCTTCTACTTATTTTTTACTTCTCTCCTTCTCTGTATATATTTCAAAAGGGATTAAGCGGGCGTCTCATTTTTCAGATTGTTGGTGAATATGGTTTTAAGTAGATGAATAATGGATGTGTACAACATTCATCTTCATCCTTAGCTATATACACTTTGAAAATCAAGATAGTTCGAGGAAATCTTTTTTCTTTTCTTTATCATATTGTTTACTAAGATTTATTATTAAAAAAATTAATTTAATTACGAAGAATCTTTTATAGGCAGGGTGGCATTAAAATTCTATTTATTATTTTTCTAATAATTAATTTTAATACCATATACTGATATTCATTCGAATAGATCATTATACTTCGTTTGAACTGAAAACAATACATTTTAGACTTCAGATAGTCTATATCTTATAGAACCTTAATATGTTGTATTCTTTTTATAATTGAAGTATATATGAAATAATAGTTCTCTTTATGTATTAACAACTAATGTAAAGTAATATGACAAAATATTGGTTTTTATACTTTTCGTCTATATAATATTTGTTGATAATAAGAAGCGAAAGGAAAAAAATAAAGAATTAACGCCACTTGTTTTTATCGAACAACAATATTGACTTTCTAGCGAATTATAAAAGTCTCACTATTCGTTATTATTTGTGACCATAAAATAAAAATTGTTTTTACAATATGATAACAGAAAATAATGTTAATGTTCTTGTGCTGATTTTTTTGGTTCTGATTAATCAAACATCGGGTAATCATTATTGTTTACAAATGATCTTTTGTATTTATATTTTATTTCAAATTTTGTGTCCAAAACAACCCAACATTTGTAAAAAAATAACTTTAAACTGAGTTCAGATCTTGAGGGTGTGGGTTACGAGAAAACACGCCTATCCTCAGTATTTTGAATATTAAATTTTTCCTAAAATCATATGATAGCTTCTGAAATTTAAGTTCTCTTTTGAAATAAAATCTAAGAAATTTTTTTCTTTAAGCATCTTCATTTAATCAACCGAAGTTTCATCCAACAGCCACGTGGAATTCCAATGGAATTACCGTTGCTAATCAATCGATTGTTGGTGCAAATCCTTACGCCATTTTTGTAAGCACAAACAACACAATCTATGTCGCTGATCGAGAAAATAAGAGAATTGTAATGTGGCAAGAAGAGAATGTCAATTCAACAAAGATCATTCACGGCAATTTAACTGGATCCTTGTCTCTCTTTGTAACATCAAATGGTGATATTTATATTGATGATAGCCAGGGAAATGATCGAGTGCTGAAATGGATAGCACAAATAAATGCCTTTGTTACGGTAATGAATGTCAACTCATCATGTGGCGGTTTGTTTATCGATATCAATGATACTCTTTATTGTTCAATTTATAATCAACATCAAGTAGTGAAAAGATCATTAAGTAATTCTGTGATGAATTCAAATCTTGTTGTTGCTGGAACAGGTATTTACGGATCAGCCTCGGATCAGATCAATAGTCCTCTTGGAATTTTTGTCGATGTTAATTTGGATTTATATGTAGCAGATTGTGGAAATGATCGAGTTCAGTTGTTTCAGTCGGGAGAATCAAATGGTATCACAGTAGCTGGAAGTACATCACTAAATCCAACAATTACACTTAGTTGTCCAAGTGGAATCATATTAGATGCTGAGAAGTACTTGTTCATTGTGGATCAATTCAATGGTCGTATTGTTGGTTCAGACTTGAATGGTTTTCGATGTTTAGTTGGATGTTATGGAAGTGGTACACAATCCAATCAATTGAATTATCCAGTTAGTTTGAGTTTCGATCATCCTGGAAACATATTGGTTACTGATCAAGTGAATTCTCGAATTCAAAAATTTTTATTGATGAAAGTTTCCTCTGGTAAGTTGAAGTAAAGTTAAATAAGATGAAGACATGTGGATAGGTCAGTAGCAGAAGTAAAACAAGATATTTTAATAGAAAAAACTAAAGAAAAAAAATGGTTGATAAAGCATTTGTTTAAAAATAAAAGATAAATTAAAATAATATGTAAACGGTGGGTGTGGGTGTGGGTGTCAACATGTAATTTATCCGTCATTTATACTCGCTCACATCCACATCTGCAATTTCATTTAGTTTATAGTTCTTCTCTAATATTCTTTATATTTTTTCGTCTTTAGCTCTTTCATTCAATCAACCAAAGTTTTGTCCAACAGCCATTTGGAATCCCACTGCAAGTACTTTTGTTAATCAATCGATTGTTGGTGAAGAGCCTAACACCGTATTTGTGAACACAAACAACACAATTTATGTCGTTAATCGAGAAAATAACACAATTGTAATGTGGCAAGAAGAGAATGTCAATCCAACAATGATCATTCCCGGTAGTTTTATAGGACCCAATTCGCTCTTCGTGACATCGAATGGTGATATTTATATTGATGATGGATATGAGAATGCTCAAGTACAAAGATGGAGTGCAAAAACAAATAACTTTGTTACAGTGATGAATGTCAGTACATCATGTTATGGTTTGTTTGTCGATATCAATGATACTCTTTACTGTTCAATGTATAGTTATGATCAAGTAGTCAAAAGATCATTAAATGATGCTGTGATGGCTTCAAACCGTGTTGCTGCTGGAACAGGTATTCCAGGGTCAGCCTCGAATCAACTCGATAGTCCTCGTGGAATCTTTGTTGATGTAAATTTGGATTTATATGTAGCAGATTGTGGAAATAATCGAGTTCAGTTGTTTCAGTCGGGAGAATCAAATGGTATCACAGTAGCTGGAAGTACATCACTAAATCCAACAATTACACTTCGTTGTCCAAGTGGAATCATATTAGATGCTGAGAAATATTTATTCATTGTGGATTCTGGCAATCATCGCATTGTTAGGTCAAGTTTAAATGGTTTTCGATGTGTAGTTGGATGCTCTGGGGTGGGTTCACAATCCAATCAATTATCAAATCCATCTAGTCTTAGTTTCGATGGTTCTGGAAACATCTTTGTGGCTGATCAAAGAAATCATCGAATTCAAAAATTTAAATATTTGAAAAGATATTGTAGTAAGTTGGAATATAATCGAATAAGATGATGAGATGTAAATATTGACAGTGGAAGCTGTATAGTTTTCGTTAGAAGAATCTGAGGTTCGAAGCAAAAGAAAATACTCTGCATGAAACTTCTTTGATCGAAAAACAATAGATTTGTGTAAATGAAATAATTGATTAATTTAAGAATTTCAATATAAAATTAGTAAATTCATTTTAAATATGAAACTTCAATTGATTATAAATATTCTTCTTTTAAACTTTCTCATCTTTCAAGATGTAAAGATAACTATCAGATTAGAAAATCATCGAAGAATTTGATTGTCATTCAAAGAACAAAACAGAACTTCTTAGACATTACATAAAAACTATCTGATGAACGTAAACAATATTATGTTCTATTAGAAGCTTCGCTCTCTTTTCACTGATCAGATTTTGTTTCGAATTTTTAAATTTCATGTAAAAGACAAACATTATGCTTTGCTTGTTGATTAAAGAATTTGATTAGATTCTCTTAGACACTGTTCGACCTACATAATATATTCTCTTTTCAAAATCATTGCAAATGCTTTGTGATTGAGAAACAGTCTTCTTTGCTTCTAGAATACGGATTATCAGTTCCATAAATTAGGAATGTATATTTAAAGCGAATACAAATTTTTATTCAAAAAGACTTGCATGCCTGTGTACTCATGATAAACTTCAATTGATTTTATTGTTTATTTAGACAATACTCCGTGGGTTGTCCAAAATATCTATTCATCATCATTGACTAACAGAAACCAAATTTATCACCGAGATTGTCAGAAAGAAATTTTTTATTATGAATCAATTCAAGTGAAGGTGATTGAAAGTGGTTACTACAGTTTTCGTGGTAGTGGTGGCATCGATCCGTATGGATTTATTTACAAAAACAAATTTAATCCGCTTGATCCATTAGAGAATTTGCTCGATCGAGATTATGCCCGTGACTCTGATATTCAGTTTAAACTTGATATTTATCTTGATGTTGACATGATATACATATTGGTTGTGACAACATATGATTCAAAAGACACTGGAGAATTTTCGATTGTTGCGTTGGGTAAAAAGAAAGTTATTCTCGAGCGTCATAGTAAGTATATAGATATCTGTGCTATATATTATATAATCTAACAGAGTAGCTATTCATATATTTTGTTACCCGTATCTCAGTAGTTAAACACTGTTCAGTTTCCACAAATATTGGATGAAATTTTTTTTAATAGAATAGTCAACAAGATGTTTGGAAACATTTAAGAGCCCAATGCTGAAAATCCAAAGAGTATCTTGCTGTAGCTCAGCACTTTTAGATTTCCGTGACATACTGATTTCAGAACACTCATTTGGAGGGTGTAGGTTTGATATAGTTACTAACCTCTATTTGTAAATTTTAATTTTCACAAAAAAATCTCAAAGATTTCGCTTTTATCGATGTTGGATAATAGTTTTATCAACGAATCGTTGGTGAACTATTTCTTTTTTTATTAGCCAATAAATATTTTCTGAATGGATTGTGAGAGACAGAAGTTTGTAATAGTATCGAAATTCTAAGAACTATTTCACTTCTTTTTTATTGAAAAGGTAATCCAGTAAATATTCAATTAATATATCCATCAAAATTAACTGATAATAGCCCAACATATCATCGAGATTCTCTAGTGCCAGAATATCATTATGAAGCTTTACAAACTCATGTTAATACAACGGGTTTGTATGTTCTTTGGAGTGAAAGTAATATTAATGCATATGGGTATATCTACAAAAATGATTTCAATCCTCTAAAGCCATTTGAAAATTTACTCCTATCACATGGAGGTGAATGTAATGATGGACAATTCAAATTAATCATCGATCTCGAGATCAACACTCGATACATATTGGTTGTGACAACACGCAGTCCTAAAATCACTGGAAACTTCTCTATTTTTATCTCTGGGCCAAACAATGTCAGGCTTAGTCTTTTTAGTAAGTATTTATATGATTTTTTCAATAATAAATATGTAACACTATAAAACACATTAAAAGAACATGGATGTGGATGTCCATGAATGCAAAGAAAAGATGAATCCTCACCCACCCATCAACAACAACTGTATTCAGTAAGGAAAAGATATCATCTATAAATAACGTTGAATCGATTAAAATGATTCTAAATATTTATTTTTCTGATCAGTGCAATATCTCAAGCAGATAAAAATGATTTACTTTTCGAAATAATTAATCCTGATAAAAAATTGAAAATTGATCTTTTCTTTTAGCAACAACAAGTGAATCATCATATGCTTGTATGAATTATCGTCCCACATGGGTGTTACTTATCATTTGCTCAATTATTCAATTAATGAAAAAACTAATATAAACTAATATTTATTTTTAAATTCATTTCATAATTCAGTTTATATCATTTAACATTGGTTTGCTTTTTATCTTATTAATAAATTTATGTAATCGATCATTCTATACGTGTAAATTCAACTGAATTCATTTAGTTTTTGAAAAATTAGTTTAAAAATTGTTATCGAGCAGAATAGCAATCCAATTGCTAATAATAGTTTATAAGGAAAGTTCAAGGATTTACAGTTTCAAATTAACACGTCAAATATTCTCTTTGAGGCGATTGGTATGCTGTCAGAACCATCTTGAGGGTGTGAGTATGAGATGAATTGCCTTCTTAATAGAAAAATAAAGTAGTAACACATCACATCACTAACATAATATAACACAACATATATTTCATCAATGTCGAAAAATATCAATCGCTTCTCTCATGACAATATCTATAGAATTGGTAGGTGTG